TAGTTTCAACTCATCTGTTTCCAGTGGAGTTCGAACTCAGGTCTTCCCAAAAAAAAAAAAAAAAAAAACTCAGGTCTACATTTCAGCAGTTGCTGGTGGGGTGTACCCACCCGCCCGGCTAATCCCTGTTTGAGAACATTCAGTATATTGAGTCCAATCTTTTTTTTTTTTTTTTTTTTGAAAACCGGTCCCTTCTCTAGAAGAAGTGATAAGAGAGAACCCCCTCCTAGCGGACTGCCTGGTTGCTCCAACCTATTGGTGGGGAGCAGCACCTGCTGGAAAACGGGTCCAGTGTCTCTGTGAACAATTCAGTGTCTGAGCCTTTGCTAGTGGTGCTGGTAAGAGCAGACACCACTAGCACCTGAGGAGAGGCTCCATCTATTGGTGGGGAGCATCACCTGCTGGAAAACGGGTAGCGTCTGAGCACACTGACATCCTGCCAGCATTGATTACCCTGAAACCAGGGGATCGACTGAGCAGGTGAAGAAAGGATGCACACAAGAGGGTTTGACAAGAGGGGCCTCTTCAGCCCTGCTGCTGCTGGGCACCTATGCACAAATTTGTCCTCCTGAGAAAAGGTGCGAGCCATTTAGGGCCAGAAGAAACACCACCCTCCCATGACTAGCTGGGGTAAAATCGCGTGTGGCACGCTGCCGGGAGAAGTACTGCATACATGCTACAATATATATACCCACTGCAGCGTGCTGAACCAACACCCTGTTTGAGAACGACAATCGGTATCAAGACTCAAGAGTCCAATCTAATGTTCTAAGAGAACTCAAAGCAAGTAGAGTTAGTGAGCAGTGTGATGGGCAACTACGTATTTCGCACATAGGTTCGGAGGGCACTTCAGTAAGTCGGCAGAAATCAGAGAAGTTTTGACTCCTGTCCCTTTTGACGATGCCAGAAGTCGTTTTCATATACGATTTTGTTTACCTACTCCTGAGACCCCCCCTTGCTCTAAAAAATATAGAGCCTTGCACCAGAGCTCGTCAACGCCAGTCCACAACTTCTTCTATGCGTGTTTACCTACTCCTGAGACCCCCCCTTAGTGAGCAAAAGATGGTTATCAACTTATCTCACGCGCCTTAGTATACTTTCTCTCTACTTGTTCACCTGTGTCAGTTTGGGGTACAGTTCAATCAATGTAGAATTGATTCTCGAAGTCATTTCCCAGAAATGGAGGGCCTGCCCAATCATCCAATCAGTAGCGCTAGCTTAATTCAAACTTCGACACTTTCTAGTATCCATCGCGGCGCCGCCTTTCAGGGTTTCCCTAGGGACCGATTCACTCTGCGTAGATTGAATGCACATGAGCATGCGTGAGCTTAATTCAAATTTCGTCACTTTCTAGTGCCCATCGACGCCGCCTTTCGGAGTTTCCTTAGGGACCGATTCACTCTGCGTAGACTGACTGAACGCAAGCATGCGTGAGCTTGATTCAAATTTTGTCACTTTCTAGTATCCATCGGCGCCGCCTTTCGGGGTTTCCTTAGGAACCGATTCACTCTGCGTAGATTGACTGAACGCGAGCATGCGTGAGCTAGTCCCGGTGCAAAGGGGACATAATCTCGTCACTTTCTAGTACCCATCGGCGCCGCCTTTCAGGGTTTCCATAGGGACCGATTCACCCTGCGTAGCTTGCCTGAATGCGAGCATGCGTGAGCTAGTCCCAGTGCAAAGGGTGCATACGGTGAACCACCAGTATGCGTCTTGAACTCAGCAACCATATCGGGGGAACAGTCAGTCGCAGACCGGTCACGGTCGCAAACATTATGTTAGACAAATTCGTGGGACCGCATTGACAAACCTCAGAGCTCAGGGCAACTGTCGTCATGCAAGCAGCTGTCAGCATCTACCAGGCTGACCAGCATGACTGCTCTTCGTGGATCATCTCCAGCATGATGTTCTCTCTCTCTCTCTCTCTCTCTCTCTCTCTCTCTCTCTCTCTCTCTCTCTCTTTTCAAACTCCTCCTCTAGTCTCTAGTTTCGGAGACGAGGCAGCCTGCGTCAGCACGCACACTCCATTAAGGTTACGCCAACGGACTTGATATGTGAAGCTTCTCTGGTCCCATTGCGGCCCGTTCGGTCTGATCCCCAAGCAGAGTTGAAGAGGGGGACACAAGATTGAACCACCCATAATTATGGGTCTTGAACTCAACAACCGCAACGAAAGCAAAACAGTCGTTCACAGACCGCAGGTCGTTCCAATTATTATTTTCAAAACCCTCATCGAAGACCGCAAATGCCATCTGGAAAAACATCATCATCTTCAGAATCGTCATAGCCGTCGTCATCATCATCGCTGCCTGCGTCCTGGACTCGGGAGCCCACGAGCACAGAACGCACTGAGTGAATAGCCGCGTGTGATACAGGCAATACTTTTCCCTTTTCAACCTTCATCTGGCATAGCACCTCTCCCGCGATATACCATGGAAAAGTAAATGGGGGGGGAAGATTATCAGGCAATTGCTGGCGCAATAGCCGGTTTGCCGCGTTGTACGCCTGTATGTAAGCGGCTGATGCTCTGGCCCTGGCTTGTTCTGGAATGTGGATGCTGGCTCCCGTCCTCTCCGCATCTATATCGAAGAACCCATCATCTAGGGTAAAGAATCTCTGGAAGCAAAAAAGACAAAAATAACAGAGTCAAAACAGCCCCTCTCTAGTCACATCAAGATCTCTGATGTACATTCAACACCACTCTTTTTTTTACTTTTCCCCCTGAAGCCCTGGAGAACCGGTTAACATGCCTCCTAATTTTCAGGGTAGGGTTTTTAAAACTTTTTTACTTTTTTCAAGTTTTTTGACTTTTTTCAGGGTCATTATAACAACCGTCTTACGCCTTTTAAGCCAGACTGGTTACCAGTCCATAGAGTGGACACTGGACAGTGGACACCAAATAAACCAACGGCGAAAAAAAAAAAGGTAAAAAAAAAAAAGAAAAAAAAAAAAGGATCAACGGGGCCTTAAACTTGGGAGGCAAAATTTCATGCAAAATTCGCTCTTTTGAGTCTTTTCAGTTTTCAGGATTTCTCAGGATTTTCAGGGCTGGCCAAAACAGTCATATCCAAGATCCCAACAAACACCAAACTTGGCACAGGCAGACCTTGACCAAAAATAAAACAGGGCAAGAAAAAAAAAAAAAAAAAACAGAAAAAATAAGCCAGACTTGTTACCAGTCCATAGAGTGGACACTGGACAGTGGACACCAAATAAACCAGCAGCGAAAAAAAAAGGTAAAAAAGTTTTAAAAAACGGATCAAAGGCCCAAAGGGGCCCCTTGAACTCGAAGGCAAAAGTGTGTTTTCATGCGAAATTCGCTCTTTTGAGTCTTTTCAGTTTTCAGGATTTTTCAGGATTTTCAGGGCTGGCCAAAACAGTCATATCCAAGATCCACCAAACTTGGCACAGGCAGACCTTGACCAAAAATAAAACAGGGCAAGAAGAAAAAAAAAAAAACAGAAAAAAAA